GAAACAGAAAAATATAAAGAGAAGAAAAAAGGGTGGAAGAATTTTTCTTCTTCTTTTCTTCTGCACTATTTACTTTTCTTTGTATTTTCCTCTTTGTGCTTTTTGCAAACATTTTCTTTGAAGCAGCAGCCATTTGAAATCCATGGGTGATCATGGAGGGTTTTTTAGACCCTGTGCCTGCATAATTTTCTAAAAAAAGGGAGGGTTGTAGAAAAAAGATAAATTAAGATATTTTTCCCAGTTTGTGCTTGTACATGGTGATTGGGCAACCATGTGTTTCTCTTGAAAAAAATAACACCAGGAAATATGGCACCACAATGCACTATTTACACGTTGTCTTGCTTGGCCCTCACGTGTATTCAGTACAGAAAAGAGTGAAACTAAAACTGCATTCAGACATCAGCTGACTCAGTTGGGTAGGGACTGAATATTCTCAGCCCAAATGTATACATCACAACATAAGAAAATGCTTTTGTAGGCAACAGAGAGAGAGAGAGAGGAGCTCTTTTAGAAATGTAAATACTGTATTGGGATATAGGCTCTGAAGACATTATCCTTCCTGTTGTAAAGGGAACCCCGAACATAAGTTCCAGTCCCAACAGAAATGTCAAGAAGCATATTTATTGTTGCTGATTCTTAGTATGGTCTAATTAATCATGCTTTAATTCTTTACATTGGAGGAGCATAAAGCAATTTGCAAGCAATGTCCTGGCCTCAAGAAATATTAGCTATAACAAGTCATTTCTAAGGCATAAAGTAGAGTTTTGCCTTCGAAGGTTCTAATGGGCCGAGAAAGGAAACTTGGGGAGTTACCTCATCAACTAAGAACCGAATCTTCTCTATAAAGTTTTGTGTTTCACGCATCATTTCATCTAGTGAAATCTTCTTTTTTTGCTGTTGGAGAATCCCTTTAGCATCTTTCAACATGGCTTCCTGTAAGAGCACAGAAGCACAGAGAAGCAACTGGTTACTTAAGGGACCCACACAATTCCACAGGATCCAAATGTTCTACTTTGCACTAGGATAGGAGAAGGTAAGCTGCAGCTCTAAGCCCTTTGTGGGGAGCTGCAAAATTAACAGACCTGTTTTCAAACTTCCAACCCCTCAAAGTAAGGCTAATCCTTCCAGTTGCAGAGATTTGAGGGACAAAAGGTGCAGTCATTAAGCACACATTTTCTTCTTAACACATCCTCCTAAATTCCCCCCAGATTTGCCTGTGACGGCACCAGTGACAACATGACATTGGCAGCCCCATGTCTTATGACTCCTGAAGGCCAAATAAAAATTAAAAGGGTGGCTTCCCAACCTCAAGAAAGTTGCCAGACTCTGTACTAGGATGTAGAAGGGACAGATGATCATGGTTCTTTGCCCAGATTAGCAACCTTCTGTAGGCATTTGTTGATATAACTAAATTCCCTCCTGCCCCCAAGTTTCATGCCATCTGTGGTTGTAGTCCTGAATGATAGTGCATCACTAGTGGTGACTGAATTCTTTACAACAAAAATAACGGTCTTTCCATTTGTCACTTTTTTTTTAGCATTTCCCCACATTGCTCCTTCAGATCTATGCAAGCATGCAGAAGTGGACAATGTTGTACATCTGGCTGGGTGGTGGCCGCACTAGACATTTCATGTAATTGAATTCCACAATAGGTAAGGATCATACATCTCATTATAATGTGTTTGCCATAATGTGTTGTGGGAACCCAGCCATTTTGGTTATGGCTTACCACATTCCTAGCCTACCAGGTGATGGAACTCCAGCTTATTCAGTTTATTCAATAGTTAAACCAAACATGGCTTAGCACATGTACCAAGCCGATCAATTGATGAAGCAGGTTTCTAACTCCTTCCAGCAACAACCCAATCAGATAGTTCACATACCAATTCTTGCTTGCACAATGTCAGTCTTTTTTTATCCAAAGCTGTCCGATTCATCAGTTTGGGCTTTTTCTCAGCATTTGTGATAAAGGCCCTGTGGATGCACAAAAGCAGCTTTTTAAGCAATAAAAGATCATTCCTGCAAAATAAGACATTTTACTTCTCCTGGAGTGTATATTTATCTAGCAGAGTGGGACAGGCAGGAGATACTAAGAGCTTCGATTTATAGCACTATATTAAAATGGAGGCATCATTTATATTAGTGAAAAAAACATGAAGACTTAGAAACACAATTTGTATGTTAATATTCCAATGGAAATTAACTTGCTGAGGGAATATGTTGTTATTTTGCATCTCCACTACTGCACCCATCAAAGGTTTAAACAAATATTTATAACTGTTTTGATCTTGCAGATTTTTGCAGTATCTATTTGTAAGACTTGTTAGTGATTATTTCCAATAAATATCGTGTTTTTCTGGCAGATTCAAAAGCTTGCTAGATTATCTAGTAATGAATTACAGGAAAAAAATATTAAAAGTAGCTCTTTGTGTAAAGTTGGAATCAAAGGCAGCAGTATGTTTTATATTCACTGAATACAAACAAGCAAGCAATTAGGATCTAGCTAGGATGCTCAAAGATTTTGATCGGTTTTCATTTTCAAGCTGAGTCACACTTCCCACATTTCTATGCAGGATAAAACCTGGTTACCACTGAAGTCTCATATTTCTCAACTTTTTTGCAATACAGTTCTTGGTAGAAGATATACACATTGATCAAAAGACACATATTTTAAGTTCAGATGAATGCAAACTGCAAAAATAAGTGCGTACAGAAGATTATTTTGTGGAAAATTAATCAAAAGTAAAGCAATTTTTGTATGTCTATGATTTATTTAAACATAAGTCACAAACTGATGTGAGACAGAATCAAACTAAATGTAGACATACATTAGAAATCATCTCTGCCTGATTTGGGTGTGAGAGAGAGAGTCAGTATTGACTCCTGGTGACTGCCTGGACAAGTCCCTGAAGTTTTCTTGGCCACGTTTTTCAGAAGTGGTTTGCCATGGCCTCCTTCCTAGGGCTGAGAGAGAGGGACTGGCCCAAGGTCACCCAGCTGGCTTTGCATGGTCTCCTGGTTTCTAGCCTGGTGCTTTAAGCACTACACCAAATTGGCTCTTCTCGGTATGATTAAGAAAATGTAAGTTTTTCCAAACATCACCAGTTTCTAATCAACCACCTGGACTTCTCTGGAAGATTTCTTCCCTGAATGTTCTTACCTACTTTGGTTGATAAGATCAGTCAGAGTCGACTTCATTTTCTCTTCTGATGCAATCTCAGAAACTTTAATTAGATCTTTCACTTGTTCTAAACCTTCTTCCTGAAAGGCAAAGCAAAGGGCAGTTACACAAAGGGCGTTAAAATTATTCCAGATATCAATCAATGCTTTAGTTACATACTATTAATAGGGAAAGAGTCTCTCTTAACTGATTAGTGTGTGTGATACACCATAATAATGACCACCTAATGCAGTGTTTCTCAACTTTGGGAATTTTAAGATGTGTGGACTTCAACTCCCAGAATTCCCCAG